TGCAAATCTGTGCAAATCAGTGTAGGCTATGAACCTAACCCTTGTCCTAATACAACATCTTGTAGTCTTACCTGGGAATGCTTGATGATTCGTCCAGAAACTTCACTGGAGGATTCATTGAATGGTCACTTTTCATTGACACGCAGCTCGATACAGGAGAAGTCGGTTTTATGCTGTAAAAGAGAATTAATACTAGGCAGGATATTACTACCATGAAACTATACATTTGGCTCCATTTCTCTAATAAACATGAACAATAGGTTATATTTAACAGTAAGAAATATTATTTACTGCATTAGGTAAACTTTACATTAGTATAGATAATGTAGTATTAGTGTACATAAACAATAATACAATACAAGTAATATTAACAAAGTAACTAACACGTGTGTTGACCAATAGTTATTCCAGCCATGTTTTAAAATGAATCAACTTAAATTATTTTGATTCTAAATGTTGGTAATCATCAGAAATTGGTGGGTGGAACACAATTCAGGAACACGGTTCAGCCACACATGAATATTTAATATATTTAATATATTACACAGTTAATATATTTAGTTAATATTCAAACAAACATCAACTGATATGAGTGTTTATTAACATTACTGGTAATACACTCACCACCCACTTTAATAGGAACACCTGTATACCTGCTCATTTATGCAGGTATCCAATCAACCAATCAAGTAGCAGCAGCACAATGCATAAAATCATGTAGATACAGGTTAAGAGCCTCTGTTAATGTTTACATCAAACATCAGAATGGGGAAAAATCTCTGTAACCTCTGTGACTTTAACCATGGCATGGTTGTTGGTGCCAGGTGAGCTGGTTTGAGCATTTCATAAACTGCTAATCTCCTGGGAATTTCACCCACAACAGTCTCTAGAGTTTACACGGAATGGTGTGAAAAACAAAAAACATTGAGTGAGTGACAGTTCTGTGGGAGGAAATGCCTTGTTGATAAGAGAGATCAGAGGAAAATGGCCAGATTGGTTCGAGCTGCCAGGAAGGATATAGTAACTCATATAATCACTCTTTACAATCGTGGTGAGCAGAAAAGCATCTCAGCATGCACAAAACATTGACCTTGAGGTGGATGGGCTACAGCAGCAGAAGAGCACATTGTGTTCCACTCCTGTCAGCCAAGTACAAGACTCTGAAGCTATCATGGACACAGGCTCACCCAAACTGAGCAGTTGAAGACTAGAAAAATCTCATTAACAAGGTGTTTCAGCCTGCAGACTCTCCGCTCACAGGATGTTTTTTGTTTTTCGCACCATTCTGTGTACTCAGGAGTCTGTTGTGTGTGAAAATCCCAGGAGATCAGCACTTTCTGGACAGTGGACAGTGGACAGTGAGTGTATATTAATGCTGAAATTAATTGTTGATTAAAACTCTAATGCAAAAATAGACCCTAGATAAGCTTGAAAACCACCACCATATCATTTTAAACACCATGTTCATATTATTGTTAAGTTCATTTTCAGGTCATTATGAATTGACAGATAGAAATATGAATGTTAATATAATATACTGTAAAAATTATTTTTGGCCAGCCTTTATAAATCTGAAACAAATTGGTGATATTAATAGCTTTCCCAATCCTTTTATCTCTTGTTTCCATTTCCATTTCCATTTATGCACAAATGGCTGTCATCAGGAGGATCCCTGAGCATGTGAAGGTGTTACAGGTGTCTATTTTAATGTAGATAATATACAGTCACTAGCCACTTTATTAGAAACAACAGTACACTTGCACATTCATGGAACTATCCAATCAGCCAATCATAAAATCATGCAGATACAGGTCAAGAGCTTCTTTTAATGTTCACATCAAACATGGGCTACCACAGCAGATCAGGTGTGTGTGTCTGTGTGTGTGTGTCTTGGCATGAGACCTCAAAGTAGGGAACTCTGAGTGACAGGATTTTCAGTTGTTCCAAACCTGCCTCCTGCTTTCTCATTCCCACTCAAAGCCAAGAGAGTCATGGAGACTCATAGAAATTGGACAGTTGAAGATCAGAAAAACACCAGGCAACACTTTTTAACCAGACAGCTTGAAACAATTAGGCCATTCTCCTCTGACCTATCTCATCAACATGGCTCATTTCAGCTCATGGAAACTGTTTGCTCATCACACCATTCTGTGTAAAGCAGAACCAGCTTGTCTAGCACCCACTTCCTTGCCACGATCAAAAATCACATTTTCCTCATTCCAGTGTTTGAACATTAATTGAAGCTCTTGATCTGTATCTTCATGATTTTATGCATTGTGGCATGAATGAGCAGATGTACAGGTGTTCCTAATAATGTCAGTTAAGTGAAAATTAATAGTACAATTGCACCAGTAAAAATCAGTCTAAAGACTGACTAAGTAAATAGAACGTGTTAAGAACTGTTTTGGATTAAATGACTCATCAGCTGGGCATAATGCTGTAATTAAAATTAATAACTGTGATTATAAAACTTCGAACACCACTGTGTTGTTGCTCTTTGTTTATCTTGAAGGCAAGCTGGGCTTTCTATGATCATGCAATTCTTTATGGGGGCACAGGCATACACAGGTGACGTTGATTTCCCAGTTCAGGGTTCACTTGAAAGAAGCATGTCCTGTTCACACTCAGCTTCATAAGACCTCCTTTTTCACATTTTCCCCAAAACAATTTGAAGACATAGAGTTATTTCCATAGTACCAATAATGCAAAGAAATTTTTAAAAATGTCTACAATGTCATAGCTCAAGTCTTCAGGGGTCAGTGGTAATGCCTTTGCATTTCAAATGAAATTTGAAACATGATAATTTGATGGTAAAGATTTTCCACAAAGACTTACTTCTCATCCATAGGATCAGCTTGGTGTTTATTAACTGTCATTTCAGAATCTGCCAACCCTCTCTGGGGCACTTCTATAGGTGGGCTCTGATTCATAGCTGCCATCCTGTGTAGTGGTACACCGTAACACAGCATGATGTCACACATCATAACAACACAGCTGAAAGACGACTTTAACACTTTGAGTTCAGATAAAGTTTTTGCTACAAGAATAATCAATATCATTAAATTCCTCCAATAAAGCCAAGAATTTTAACATGGGAGGTGAATC